GCAAATGCCTTTGACTGTGTGGACCACAACAAACTATGGCAAGTTCTTACAGAAATGGGAGTGCTGACCATCTTCTCTATCTCCTAAGAAATCTATATGTGGGACAGGAAGCAACAGTTAGAACTGGATATGGAATAACTGATTCGTTCAAAATTGGGAAAGGAGTACGACAAGGCTGTATATTGCCTCCCTGCTTTTTTAACTTATATGCAGAATACATCATGTAAATGGCAGGAGTGGATGAATCCAAAGCCAAAATTAAGATTGCCAGAACAAATATCAACAACAGATATGCAGAAGATACCACTCTGATGGCAGAAAGTGAGGAGGAGTTAAAGAACATCATAATGAGGGTGAAAGAGAAGCGAAAAAAATGATCTGAAGCTCAACATCAAAAAAACTAAGATCATGGCCACTAGTCCCATCACCTCCTGGCAAACAGAAAGGGAAGATATGGAGGCAGTGACAGATTTTACTTTCTTGGGCTCCATGATCGCTGCAGATGGTGACAGCAGCCACAAAATTAAATGATGCCTGCTTCTTGGGAGGAAAGCAATGACAAACCTAGACAGCATCTTAAAAAGCAGAGACATCACCTTGTCAACAAAGCTCCGCATAGTCAAAGCTATGGTTTTTCCAGTAGCAATGGATGAAAGTGAGAGCTGGACCATAAAGAAGGCTGATCACCATTGATGCTTTTGAATTTTGGTGCTGGAGGAGACTCCAGCACCACAAGTGTCCCCTGGACTGCAAAGAGAACAAACCTATCCATTTTGAAGGAAATCAACCCGGAGTGCTCACTGGAAGGACAGATCCTGAAACTGAGGCTCCAATACTTTGGTCATCTCATGAGAAGAGAAGACTCCCTCAAAAAGACCCTGATGTTGGGAAATTGTGAAGGCAAGAGGAGAAGGGGACGACAGAGGACGGGATGGTTGGTCAGTGTCATCGAAGCAACCAATATGAATTTGACCCAACTCCGGGAGGCAGTGGAAGACAGGAGGGCCTGGCATGCTCTGGTCCATGTTGTCACGAAGAGTCGGACCCAACTTAATGACTAAACAACAAATAACAAAGTGGTGGTAGAAGGATGGTGGTTTGGGTCTCAGAGGAAAGGGTAAAATAAACTTTAAGGGAAAAAAGAAGGAAGTTGTAATTATTGTCACATAATTCATATCTGAGATTGGTTAAAGTTTGGTTAATTTTGTGTAACTAATTCGTGTGACTTCTTAACAACCGATTGGCATAAGGTGGTCTTTTGCTTTTGGCATCAATTCAGTTAATTTTTGTTAACTGATTTGTGTGACCTCTTAGGCATACATGTTCTTTTGCCTTATAGGCTTACAGTCCAGGCTGAATGTCCGATGCACTTAGAAGACTTCCCTATGGATGCTCACTCATGCCCATTGAAATTTGGCAGCTGTAAGTAACATGGCTAAAAGGACAGCCTCTAGCTACTAAATACCTTGCATACTTTTATCTCTCTCTCTCTCTCTCCTTTTTTCACTTGAACATGAACTCAGGTTTAAATATGCTTTGGCAAAGCAGTGTTGCACAGTACATTCTGAGATTGGGTTTCCTCATTTTAATATTTTGCATTGTTTTTGCCTTTGAACATATTAACTAATTCCCTGAGTTCTTGTTTTCGGAAGATATAATTTCCTAATTCATCAAAAACTTACTTGACAGTTACTCCTGTATAATGTCATTTATTATCCAATAGGTTTAAAATACCATAACAGTATGAATGTGACATGGTTATTAATTCAGCATCTGGGTAAGCAGAACTGTATATCTTATATAATGAAGATACCAAATCAAGTTTTGTTCAATACATTGAAATTTGTCAGGATATAAAATATATTTTTAGGAGGGCTTGTTCTGGAGGTTCTTACCGTGTTTCCACAAAAATAAGACAGGTTCTTATATTAATTTTTGCTCCAAAAACACATTAGGGCTTATTTTCAAGGGATGTTTTATTTTACAGTCATGTCATCTTCTGGTTGCTGCACAATGCTGTACAATGGTGGAGGGCAGGATTTCACGTAACTGGGGCTTATTTTGGGGCAGGACTTACAAGCATCCTGAAAAATTATACTAGGTCTTATTTTCAGGTTAGGTCTTATTTTCGGGGAAACAGGGTATCTCTTTATTTAAAATATTTCTACCCTATGCTTTCCTCAGAAGACTGTAGGCAGCTAACAATAAGAATTAAAGTTATGGTATCAAAGGAGAAACACAAACAATGGTATGTTGGACAAGATTATTGTAATGAGTTTGCTTTTTCAGTAGTATAAAATAAGTTCCACTGATAAAACAATTTTGTACTGAATGATTAGAGGACAGACTAACTGGGATGATTCTGTGATTAATTTCATTGGTCTTTAAGGAAGATAATGTGTTTCTGCCTTAGCTAATTCATATCTGGTAATCAGAGGTTTTGGAAAAGGAAGGTGTTTTCATTCATTTCTATTACGTATTACTCATCCTTTTAAAAATATAAGGTTGGTTTTGACTGACATCTGGGATGTAAAATATGGTTTGTTGTGACACCTGCATTATCAAACTGTGGTTCATAACCGGGCATCAGAGCACAATGTGAATGCCACTTTAGAGCTATTTGTGCATATTATGGACTGCAGTTATATTTTGTGATAAAATATATTCACCATATGGGTAACTCGGCAAACAATTTTTTCTTTTTTTTACTTGGTGCTCTGAAACCTAGTATATAGCATCATCTCAGTTCAGAATTAATGATCCCATTTCAGCCAGATGTATCGGTTCATGTCAGTGACCTTGTTTAGCCATTCTGATGTGCCTACATGAGGGAGGTCCTGTCAGCAATGCAGAGTCTAGCACTTCTGAGACAGACTCTAGGGAATGAGTCAAAGTAGTAAAGCTCAATGCACCTGGAACACTGTTCATTTGAATTGATGCAGAGAGTTCCACTATTATCTTATTGTTAATTAAGTGACGGAGTTAAAAAAAATGTTAAAATGCTTTTAAAAGAAAGTTCTAAACTGTCTGATTTTTAGTCTTTCCAACTTGAATATGTCTTTTTATTTGTATCAGATGTTTTTCTTATATTGTGCACTTTTTCAGATATACAGCCAAATTAATGACTTTTTTTAACTAAATGGAACCGATTCGTTTTACTTTTAATTTACTTTTAATTTATTTTACCTGACTGGAGCTTACTTGTCTATGTGGGGCGTAGTTGTACTCACAAGTCTTTTGATGTCTGCCCAGACCCAGGCTCCTTTTCAGGACCTACAATTTGATATGTGTGTTGGGTTCTACTTTTTAAAAACAAATTCTGAACCAATACTTGAAGAAGCTCTCAGTGTCTATCTGCCATTGTCACAATGCTTTGGAAGAACACTACATCAAAAGAAATTAAAATGGTGACTGGACACAATAGCTTGTTTGGTAGTCCCACCAGTATATGAAGGGACCTGCTAGAGGCATTTTGCTCAGGGACCCCTCAAACTTAGAGCTAGCCCATTACGCCAAATGCTTCCTTGCAGGGCAGTGGTTCCCAGTCTTGGGTCCCAAGATATTCTAATCTACAACTCCCCAAAATCCTGGCCAGAACAGCTGGTAGTGGAGGCTTCTGGGAGTTTTAGTCCAAGGACATCTGGGAACGCAAAGTTGGGAACCACTGTTCTAGGTCATTATGAGGAGGTTATTGTTGCTCTACCAAAAGTTCGTCATCCGTAGAGGACATCATTTCGCTCACAGACTGAGAAGTTGGCACAATTCATGCTGTATAGAACAGGAGTGCTCTCCAGTTAGACCTGGGGCAACAGGGTACAACATCTGAATATTGAAGGATCACCAGCATAGTTCTTTAGCCAGTTTTTAAAAACCATTTGACACTGAAGTCTTACATATGGCCACAGGACTAGCAGAAGCAACTAGTTATCGTGCACTGAAGCCATCACAACATTTATTATTAACGAAGTGACAACATAGACAGCTGTTAGACATCAGAGACAACCAAGGTCTAGCATTGTTCAGGTGCCTACTCACCAGCCTAGCAGTTCTTGTTGATGGAACTATGGGCACAGTCTGTAGCACACTGAGAAGAGATAATGGCTGTCCTGTTGCTTCTGTGGCATGCTGCAACTAGGAAAAACACACTGTGCTGTGATGTATTATTTTGAACAACAAAATGGATTCAGAGCTGATGGATCTCAAGGAGGATGACTGAGGCAAAGTGGGTAGCTGTCTCTAAAAATCTAAAACCTCCAGTACTTATAAAGAGATGGAATTCTCTACCTGCCAGGGCTCCTTTCCCATGGCTTCTGATGAGAAAAGTCCCGGACCATTTCATTTTGTGTGTGTAGGACCTCTCTTGTCCTAATGCTATGCAGAATTGCAAGGTGAGTGTTTGTACACCCCTTTTAACTATTCCACTAATTCTTGCTTTATTCCTAATTATATATAACTTCTAAGTATATTGCCAAATCCTGGTAAGTTGGTATTAGCTTGTGCAGTATTTCACAAAAGATATCCATTCTTCCATCATGCGTACTATAACATATAATCTCCCCCACAAAGTGTAAAGAAAGAGTTATTTTTTCTTACTGATTCTTAATTATAGAAACATATGTTCCAGAAATTGCTTCTGTTTAACAGTTCTGAAATTTGTGTTTTAGCCAGAATGAGCAGAAGAGAATCTATTCTGTTTCACTTAGTAGATTTGCTACAAAATTTATCTTGAGGAAGACAAATATGGTAATGTAGTTGGAATGTTGAACTAGGACTTAAGAAGAAGTTTTCTAGTTGCCACTGAGTCACTCATTGGGTGAGTGCTTCACAGTGTGACTTATCTCACAGGGTTATTCTGAGTTTGAATTGAGATGGAGCAAAACAGTGGTACATTGAGCTCAGAAAAAGTGGGATATAATAATAATTCATAAAATAATTATTATTTTATTATTGTTTTCAACTCTCTGTGGAAAAATGTGTAGCGTAAAACAGAAAACTCAACCTTTTACTGACTTGTTCTTATTTTCATGGTGTAGCTATAGACTTCAACACAGATGGAGGAGAAAGGAAAGTCCCAGAAAAGAAAATAATTGTGATACCTCATTTATGGAGGAGGAGATGTTAGAGAAAGAAGACATCCTGCCACCCAAGATACAGAACAAACCCCATTTCCTCCTGGCATGGAAGACCTCCTATGTGATTGCACCTGATGAAAAAGAAACAAGTAGATTACTTGCTGTGTGTATGAAGGATTCGGTTACTAAATGGTTAGAGCAGGTGAAAACATGCCATCTTTGTATGGACAGATAGATAGAAACATTCAAAGACATGGTTTGCTACTAAAACAAAATAAAACACAATGAAAGTATTAAGAGTCTTTGCAGTTGTTTGTCCTGCTTTGACTCTGTTATATAGATACTGGGTGCAGTATTGGTATTGTGAGTGCAAGGAAAGTTGAATAAATGCTCAAGGTGGACAGAGTCTATATCAGAAGCCCTTCTTCAGAAATATTATTGCATTTTCCTAGAAAGTTCCAGATCATTCAACTTTCCACGAAACTCCAAAGGGAAAATTATGGTTGATAGAGAGAAGGGTACCTTTTGAAAAAGCTTCTGTACTTACCAGATCATTGTGAGGTCATTACAAAATTTTCTGAACTAATATAATTTGTTTCATTGCCTGTGAGTTGACTGCCTGATTTTAAAAGGTAAATTCACATGGGGGATGTTTTACTGTAGTACAGTACATTACAGCAGTGTGGGATTGAGACGGATACTTCTAGAGTCAATTAGACATACACTGTCAACTCTGATATGCTGGGCCACCCAAGACATTTTTCTGCCTGGAATGGAAGAGGAAACTGTACGTCTGCGCTTATGACAACTGCTTCTATGCCTCCCTGGAAATAAAAATACTATAACAAGTGAGGAGCTCTACTTGAATGTATTTATGAGTTGTCATGCTTCAGTAATTCTTAAACATTTAGTCATATATCTCCTGCTAGCTGACAGTCAAGAAATTGCTAAAAGATTAAAAGAGAGGGAAAATCTTGATCTGGATGGCTGGTACAATTGTGTCTGGAATCTGGAACTATCTGAAAAACTTAACAAAGGAAGTGCTTAATGCAAGACATCACATAAATATCAATAACTTTGATATTGCCTGGTATCTGTTTATTCCTGCAGTAGTGTTAAGTGACTGTATTAAAAGAAGAATGCCAGCTTCCTATGACTTTGGACAGAGGAACTTGGAAAAATTCATTTCTACTACAGTCTTCTCTTCCATGACTCACTTAACAGAACTTTTGATGTCGACCTCACCAAAAGCATGTGCAGAATCACAACACAGAAACTAATGAAGTTGTATGCTTTTTTTTCTTATTTTATGTGCTTCTTAATTACCCTGTGATTTTCTGTTGTGCTGATCAATACTATAGAAACTTTTGTACTTTGCTGTTGCTCCAATAAAAAATTAAAATAAGTAAATAACTAACATATTGTTGCCTTTTCGTGATACCCCAAATCTTAGGTTGGGTTGCCCATGCTGATTTCCATACATAGTCAAAACACAGACCATTTTGGTTTCTAAAATATAATTAGTGCAAACATGGATTAATATAACATCGGAAACAGCCTGTGACTTGCATAAGACTTCACAGAATCTTGAGTCCATGTAATATGTAGGCCAAGTTCTTTTATTTTAGTAGTGCGCCACAGAGTGGTTTGTTATTATGTTGAGAAAGACACTATTTTCAGTAACTGAGAGCAACCCCAAAGCAAGATTATACTCTCTTTTGTCCTCACCACCCACATCCTAAATAGGAAGTAATCCTCACTCTAAGTTGGTAGTGATTTTTGGGGTCTGCAGAGACACTGTATCCTTACACTATAAATCACGATGGCTTATGTACCACAGTTGTACTTTCTTTTTTTACTCTAGTGGGAGGAAGAAGCGGAATTTGCTTTGCTTTGGTATGATTAACTTCAGGGCAGGTTCATGGATTTTAATTACCCCCTTTTGTGCTTGCATTTTTTTAAAACAGAGTTTGGAGTGCTATTTTTTTAAAAAAAAACTAATTGTGTTGATAATTGCTTTTCAAGAGTTCCTCGTTATCTGGACATATATTACAAAATAATATGCTGTATTTAAAAATTAAATAAGAAATGCCCAAATATCTCCCAGTTGTCTTCCCCTTAAGTTTCTGAAGTAACAAATAAAAGGTATTTGTTACAGAAAAAAAAAGGATGCCATCGGTCATCATGACATTTTGTAAAAGGACTATTGTTATTCTGTTCTTATCTCTTAAAAGAATGCAAGTGAATGTTATTTGTAACATCTTACTGATTTTAGGTCCTGCCCATTCCAAACATAACCCTTTTTGTCCCCTTTTGCAGTGTTGCTAAGACCACCCACAATCAATTAATTATGCAGAGCATTCAAGCCCTCTGACAGTCCAGTTGTCCATAACATTCAGAGTTCAGGTGGACTTCATTCTAAGGTGGCTGTGTGAGACCATTGATAAGGTTTTCTGAAAAACTGTATGCTCCAGAGCAGCTGAAGAAGAGAAATTTGAGTTAGTGCAGTAATACTTTTCCCCTTTATTTTTAATATTGCTTCCAGAGAGATAAGTGTATGTGTAAAAGTGAGGGAGTGTGACACCAGCAGAGCAGAGATGAAATGAAGAAGGCAGTGACTTGTGGATACAGCTTCATAATCCAAAGTCAGTCTATTTTTATTGTGCTTCATATTCTCCAAAAGATGTGTTCATCTCCTACACTGCCTCCCCCAGTACAGGAGAAATCTGTTTCTGTTTCAGACATAAGAAAAAATTCATGATTTTTTCTGCAAACCATGATTTGTACCGCAGACAAATCAGTCACTGCTCTTGCTAGCTGGGAGACTCTGGGGCACTTGCTAACATTCAGTTTCTTCTCCTCATTTCTATACTAAACTGGTAGTAAGCTCATGTGCAGATTCTTTGCCAGAGGGGAGAGATAAAGCACAAGAGATCTTAGTCTGTGAACACAAATCATGGAGGGTTGTTTGTGCATGCTGTATCAGGATCATGCTGATGCCTCCTAGTTATTAGTAAAGCAGCACTTTAATAATAACTAGGAGGTGCTGAAGAGCTTCCCACTCAGAGTCTGTCACCCTTGTCAGTTGGAGATAAGATGATTGAGATGACGGTTGCTAAGTCTGAGACATCTGGCTGAAATCTTAGGAGAATGCTGTGCTTCCCTGTGTCTCCAAATGGGGAGACAAATCTCAGAATAAGGGCTGCTGGAGGAAGACAAAAGTGTTGTTTTTATGTGCATGCCAGCTTAAAATCTGGGCGCCTCTCTTCACAGTATTTCCAGCTAGGACCAGAAGTCACTGCCTCTGCACAGATGTACTTGTATGTGTTTTTCACCTCTATAAGAATGACACACTAAAAATCAGGAGTAAGGGAGGAGGATAGTAGAGGGAGCTAGCAGGTGCGTGTATTTGGGCTCCTTAGGCAAGGCAGGGCAGGTAGGGGACCACCAGCATCATGGCTTTTGAACTTGTCACACAAGCCCAGACAGCAGTAGCACAAGGTCTGAAATAACGTTCTCTAACTTGGTAAGTGAGGCTTCCACAAACTCCAGCAGCAGCATAATATATGGAAAAAACTACCTATGTGTCCTGTGGGCTGTAGGTAAGACCATGCAGTAAGTGAATCTTAGTGAGAAAGGTAGCAATCACTGCAGCTAACTTGCCTAGCAACTAAAAAGTATCTCCTCCACTCCTTCCCAGTTTGGGGTTTCCATATGACCTGACAAACTGGATTTTACCTGGATTATGGGCCCATTTACCCTGATATCTCTCATGCCAGTTTCCACAATTCCTCAGAAGCAGTTTCACCCTTCTCCCAACCCTTACTTATACCACATCTGTGCCTTCACAGGGACCCAAAACTAGTCTCAGTTTTTGAAATCAGCCAAGGTTTCTTTTGTGAGGCTTTGTATTACTCGCACATTTTATCTTGACTTTGTTGATTGGGCTCAGTGGGCACTTATAACTTATTTTCACTATTGCAAAATGATATGATGGTACTCAAATAATTTGAAATCTTTCTGCTTAAGTTAATAATTGCTTGTATTGAAAACTAATTATTTTATATGTTGGTATCCATATTTCTTACCATAGGAGTTTATACTTCAGTTTCCCCATTGTCTAAATGTTTCAGCCTTTAAGTCTGGGATTTCTTGAATATATATGCCAGGGAATCTGAAACTGGAGACAAATATGTTTGGATCAAATGCTTTGTTTGTTTGCACAATTGTTATTCAGTACTTCACCATTCACAAGGGAGCTCAGATCCAGTACTCTCTATGTGGAACTCAACCAATTGATCACTCTTCCTTATGTCATTCTCCCTCTGCTGAGGAATAAGAGCTGGACGGGAAGTTGATTCATACCTAAATGCTACCTGTTGCAGGGCAAGTGAGGAAAAAGTACCAGCCTGAAGAGAAATGTAGGCTAGCCTACCTCGTGCCTTCTGTTGCTTCACAAAGCTGGTTATTAGGACTCTAGCTTTTCATTTCTACTCCTCCTCTTGAAGAAACACGTAGCAGAGGCCCCACTGAAACTCTTCAGATTTAGTGGGAGAAATGAAGATCCCTAGGTTGTTCCATTGTGGTCTGATGCATTACTGCTAAAGGAGGAATCTAAACATCCTCTCATCTGCAAATTGTGAGTAGATTCACACAATAAAACCACTCTGAATCAGCCAGTGCTTAAATTGCCAGGTCAGACTCTGAATGTTTAATGCAGAGACAGTAATAGTTATTCTGGGAATCTAATGCTAGATACTTACCATATTTTTATATGGCAAAATTGTCCTTTTCTCTCTCTTTCTCTGTAGATGCATACACAACTTCAGAAGTGACCTACAAGTGGACTTTCAATGCATCTAATTCTGTAGAAGTGGCCCCAGATGGCTCAAGGTTGAATCAGTATGATCTCTTAGGTCAAACAATTGGACAAGAAACAGCCAAATCTAGTACAGGTTAGTAGGATGAACAACAGACACTGCAAACAAATTATTTATTCAGTAGTTACTAGATGACATGGGAGAGAGTATTTGTCTGTTACCTTTAATATTTTCCCTTTCAGCTGTTTGAGTTTTAGCTAAGGTACACAGTACACAATGGCCAGTATATTTTGCCATTTAACTTTATTTAACTGATAGGAAAAGAAATGTATAGCTGCTTTGAGAATCAAGATTTACTGAAAAATTCAATGCCATGATATGTTATATGGTATTTTTAGGTCCTGGTGACACATTAAAAAATAGAGCTGGCCCAACTCTTTTTGTTGCCTGAGGAGGAGGTCAAGATGCCCCCTTCTTACTCCAGCTGCAGAAATCAGTTAAACTGACAAGTTGGATTTTACTTTGAGTGTTGTGGTGATGGGCCCAGTATTCTCCAGCCACCTGAAAAGCAGTAGGTTAGCTTTGAGTCCTTGGACACATAGCTTTTCATCTCTGGCAAAAGGGAGAACACAGGAGGTTACAACTGCAGCTTTCTTCATGTAACTCCCCAACTCTTGCCTCAGGCAGCTGCCTCACTTTGTATAACAGTAGAGCTGGCCCTAAGTAGCAGAGATTTAGCAGGGTGTCACCTTCATAGGTGATCTAAATAAGTTTTGAAATTCATAAACGTGCAGTCACTTTTGTAGTGCTTGCACAGTCAGAATCCAAAGATCTGCACTGTTGTGCTTACAACACGGACATCTTGCTATTGTTTCTCTAACACCTGCTTTTGTTACCCAACCATACTGCAAAGTAAACACTTCTGAATCTAAACAAAGCTTCAGAAGCAGTTTTTTTAAAATGGACACCAGCTATCAGTATGAAAAATAGAAAAAAACAATCCATGCACATGTTCATGTGAGATTTGGATCTTGGCATTTGTACTTTGACTTTTTAATTTCTGGCACTCCTTGGAGAAATGGCATATGTATCTAAAAGTTCCATCACTTGCTTTTATAAGTCATTTGCCCTAAGTTAGCTATGTTTTCAAAAGTTTATTATGGAAACATTTATAATGATTTCTGTTACTATTAATTTAATCCATTTTTTTCTAGGTGAATACACTGTAATGACAGCTCATTTTCATTTGAAGAGGAAGATTGGTTATTTTGTGATTCAGACTTACCTTCCCTGCATCATGACAGTCATCCTGTCCCAGGTGTCATTCTGGCTAAACAGAGAATCTGTCCCAGCAAGGACAGTTTTTGGTATGTATTTGATGGAGATCTTTGTGTTGTTTATGTTTTATGTTGAAGACAGCTCAGTATTCCAGGTGCCATCTGCAGCACATTTACTATCTTCTTAGATTTTCTTTTAAGAATCCTCCCCCCCCCCACTTTTTAAAATTGAAATTCGCTAGGCAAGGGAAAAACTACTGTTATTTCTCTGTCATGTGACTTTCAGGTACAAGCTATAGCACCCCAGGGTGTGGGGAGATAAATTAACATATGAAAGAGAACCATGTAGATGCAATATATTGCTGAAATTGGCAGGGGGCAGGATAAATATACCTCAGTGCTAGGAAGGTTCCAACTGAAAATAGCTCATGTCTAGTTCTTTTCTGTGTACATTTAGAGACACCAGCTCTCCAAACACTGTGCCTAAAACAAATTTAAATGTTTGCTTTTGAACACAGATTGGTATGAATCTCATTTTCAAAGCTCCTCAAGATCCTAGGTGCCAACAAGGGACATTTCCCTGGGTATACTGGACCTTTCATGAGTAAACCTTATACAAAATTCATAAATTAAATTGCTCTGCTTGAATTTTTAAAGGCAATAGATTATGGTGAGCAAATGATATTTGAATTCTATTATACCCATTCAGGATGCAAATCAGGGGCCACTTATTTGGTCAAGACATTGCTCATATAATGTTCTTCTGATTAATTCTTCAAACTCAGGGTCAAGGGGAGAAAACTTGGCAAGGTGGCACCCAAATCACATTTGCACATGTGTGGTGGAGGTGTTAAAAAGAGAGATTTTTGTAAAGGCATTGGACAGACTAGTCAAGCAGGATTTTAGACCCCTGTTTTGCAAACATCCTTATGTTGTATGTCAAAGGAAGCAAAGTGCCAATCTATAAATTAATAGGCATTAGGTGGAATGATTTCTTGCATCGCAGACAGCTGCATAAGCACTTGAAAACATCTTCCAAGCACAGTTCTGATTTGGGGAGAGTTTGTCCCTTATGGAGCAAGCCATATACTACATATTTTCTAGATTTCCAGGGTCTATACAAGCTTGCATTTTCTTTTAACTGTAAGTGCCTCAATATTACATATGTTCTTTCATAAATTTAATTGCTTGCTTGCTCTTTTTCAGGTGAAATACTCCACAATAAACATTTTAAAAATCCTGCAAACACTATATTCTCCTACTGTGTTTTCCTATATCAAGGATGTGTAAAACGTCCCTGAGAAATTTCTTTAGCGTTATAAACACTCCCCAGAATTTTTGTGAAATTCCGCCAATGTTGTGTCTAATCACAATCCTCACCAGGTTTTGCTTCAGGCGAAATCTTTATGGCAATTCTGGGGTTTTAGACTCTCATAATAAATTCTGCTTGCTTATTTCGAACTCTTGCAAATCCTCAGGTGGCTTTCATGAGAAATAATCTCACACTAGCAATTTTTCCAGTGCTAGCACTGAGGTCAGTGATAGGTCCTAGCACTGTTACAAAGGGAGTAGTTGTATGGGGAGCATTCAAACGCAAAGGTGCTTTCAGGTTATGAATCATTTCATCATTTTTTTTTTCTTCCATGAAAAGTTTTTTTTTTTTACCTTTCTTCTACATTACTCCCCTGAGTGAACTTTATGTTTATGTGGAGACACATCTTGAAGGTGAGGTTGGGGGAGAGAAGTAGCAGCAGCATCCATTTTTTGAATAGAGAAGTTTAATATTTCTTGTTGGAAATCTGCTGTATTTCACTCTGCTCACATAAGATACTTTTAAACAGTAGGTTACATGTAAGGACTTAGGGCAATGAGGCAGTTTTAATAATCAAGCTCTTCAGTTCCTTTCATCTGTGACATCTGCTAAATGCAGTTGACCTAATGTGTTCTTGATGAACTATGATGGAATGCTTTATTGTCTTCGCCTTGCTTTTGATCAGCTTATATAGAAAGCTTCAGGGCTGGTAATTGGATAGATTTTGAATATATTCTTCATAGAAGGTGCATTTGGAAAGCTTCTGATTATGCCTAAAGGGACTAAGCATAAAGCTGGCACACAATTGCCAAGTTCAAGATTCTAATCTCCTCCTCCTCCTCCTCTAAATTGAGTTGCCCATATATCTGTGCATTCCAAATTACAAAAGAAAATGTTGTGTTAATTAAATGCTAACACTTCCTTTTAGGAAATCTTGTAAAATGCAGATACACTACACAGACTAGATTCAAGACACTCGGCTCAACGTCTCCTAGGCCTTATGGCCTCCACCACATCGACCATTTAGCACTCCAGGCTAAAGTTGCACTCCCTACAATCATGGTATCTGTCCCTCTTCAATCCTATGACAGACCCATCTTCCAAGCGTCTCCACGTCATCCCTGAACTCTCTTCTCAGCTCCTCTAGTGGGACACTCCATCCAACCTGTTCATCGAACAGTCCTTTGCTCCTCTCCAACTATCGGTTCAGATCACCACCAATTCAAGCCCTACTGGATGGGGGGGGGCACATTGCAACGGCCTGCATATTCATGTTACCTGGGCCCACACTGGGCAAGCTTTTCATATAAACAATATCAAGCTCTTAGCCATTTTCAAGGCCTTCCAAGCCTTCAAACCCATCATTCTTGGCAATGCTGTTCAAGTCACAACCGACAATACCACCGTGTTGTTTACATAAACAAACAAGGAGGCACCCATTCCCTTCCACTGCTGTATCTCACTGTCCAATTCTGGGAATGGTGTCTAGAATGCCACATTTTTCCTGTAGCAGTACATATTGCTACTCAAGACAATCTTGTAGCAGATACTCTCAGCAGACTACATACCCAGATGCACGAATGGACTCTAGACCAGTCCATATTTCACCACCTTTGCTCTTCAGCATTGTCTTCCAACCAATCCTACAACCCTGCAAGCTGTCCTTCAGTTTCTCTCCCATCTCTTTCACAAGCAACTCTCCCTTTCTACTCTCAAGGTTTACCTGTCTGCTATAATAGCTCATCAACCTCAAGATTCCAATGCTGCTATGCTTTTTTGTCATCCCACATTAAAACGGTTCCTTTGGGGTGTCTCCAATATGCATTCTTCTGCACCTGCACCATCCCCACAATGGTCTCTACCTGTTGTTCTTCACTGGCTTACCTGTGCTCCATTTGAGCCACCATCTCAGAGCACCTCCTTTTCCTTAAGACACTCTTCTTGGTTGCCATTACTTCCGCTCGTAGAGCCTTGGAGCTTGCTGCCTTCTGGGTCAATCCTCTATTTCTTCAATTTCACCCAGACAAGGTCACCCCTTTCCCTGATGTCTCCTTTCTACCAACGGTTGTGTCAGATTTCCACCTCTCCCAACCTATTGTTTTACCTAGCTTTTTTCTGTCACCTACAACTGACCTAGAGTGGTCTTTACACACGTTGGATGTTAGACACGCACTTGCTATATCTCACAGATTTCTTCCTTCCGCATATCAAAATGACTTTTTGTAACACTGCACCTCCCTCACAGAGGTTCTCGTATTTCATCTCAAAACTGTATCCTGTTGGCTCATTGCAAAACTGTGAAACTGGCGTACCAACTTGCCATACAGCCTCTACCTATTGCTATTAAGGCTCATTCTACTAGAGCCTCTGCGGCCTTTCTTCGTGGAGTACCACTCCCAGATATTTGTAAGGCTGTCACATGTACATTGCTGTCTCCGTTTCCCACTCATTATCGCTTGGATCTGAGAGCCAAAAAGGATGCAGCATTTGGGAGAGCTGTACTTTCTTCTGTTGTTCCGTGACGTTCCCTCCTCCAGTAAGTTAGCTTGTTAATCACCCATTAGTGTGCATTCACAGAGACCACAAAGAAGAGAGGTTACTTACCTTTAATTCTGGTTCTTCAAGTGGTCATCTGTGAATTCATACTTCCCGCCCGTCCTCCCCTCTTTCCGTCACTCCTGTATCACCTTGATGCAGTGGCTGGCTCTTCTTAGGAACTGAGGTAATTGCCAGGATGGGCGGACCACGTGTACTGGGGGGCAGTCCTTGACGAATGTATCATAAAGCTTTAGAATATTCCGGAGACCTCTGTGCAAGTGCAGATTAAACCCATTAGTGTGAATTCACAGATGACCACTTGAAGAACCAGAGTTATAGGTAAGTAACTTCTCTTTTTCCTGCATAGAAGTTTAAAATGATTGGACCATTTGTTAACATCTATGCTTGGCTTGGCTTGGCTTCACAAAGGGACTAGTTTTGCACAGAAACATTTCTTGTAAATTGTGGAAATATCATCTACATGAACAACAACCCCACTCTTTGTCTTGCTCTTTCACTGGAGGCAAGAAATCTCATGTACTGAACAAAACCATGACAGATTGTTTCAACAAGCAAAAGAAATTTAGCAACTGATTACATAGATAATGAGAAAAGTAAGCACTAACCCCATGTTACCCCACCCATCCAGTTTTTTCATTTCAGATCTTGATAGCAATACATCAAAAACTGCTCAAGTCAAGGGGAAGTAATTTTTCCCTGGCGTATTGACTTCTTACCTATAGTGGCAAAATAGGCCCTACCGTATTTACTAACATACCTAGCTAGCAGTCGTCAAGAGTACAGGCGTGCAGCTTGGGAGTGCTTCTGGATTGTTCTCCGGGTCTGGATGCCCAGGTTTCGTCAATGGCCAGGAATGCCTTTGCACAGTTAAAACTTGTGCTCACTCATTTCTTGAGAGGTCTGATCTGGCTACAGCAGACCTGGGCAAAGTGTAGCCCGTGGGCCACATACGGCTTGTGAGCTGCTCCTGTCTGGCCCATCGGTTGTCACTCCAGTCCGGCCCAATACCACAAAAAAACTCTTTAGTATTTGTGAAGATTAACACATTTAAAATAAAAACAATCATAACATCACTGTTTCATTTTAAAATAAAAACAATCATAGCATCATTGTTTCATTTTATTTTTAAGTACATTTGGTTCAGCCCCAGAACACAGTTCAGATATTTCATGTGGTCCCCCCATAGAAATTAATTGCCCACCCCTGGGCTACAGTGACA